CAACTGCACCATCTAACTTTGATTCTTCTTGAAATAACTAAACTTCCTCAATATAACAATCCCTGACATCCCACAAAGTTAAATGATATTCATTTAAAAACTTAGCATTAACTAGATGCCTTTGCAAGTTTCCTTTCAAATCTGCCTAGTAATATCCTCCCTTATCCAGTACTTCGTTGATAATGAAAGGATTTTCCCAAGTATGGCTCCACTGCCTAAAGCCTCTGACTTGAGCTCCTAAGGGCAAAATTTCTTTCCATACTAATTCTCATTCTTTGAAGGTTTTTAACTTCACCTTTCTGTTATAAGCTCTGGCATTAACTTTCTTCCCTTCTTGAATCTCGTTTAAAGCTTCAATTTGGGTTACATCTAAATCTTCAACCCCTTGACACAAAGCTTGAATGTATTCTTCACTGTGTAACCCAAACTAGTTTTCAATTCTAACAGAACTCACATTAATTTCTATAGGGAGTACAACATCTTGCCCGAAGGTTAGGGCATAAGGAGTAGTTCCAGTTTCTGCCTTCTTGGAGGTTCTATAAGCCCACAAAGTGTCTCCTCACTTCTCATGCCATTTCTTTGGACTTTTTGCCACCATTCTCTTAATGATATTTACTTAAGACCTTGTTACTGGCTTCTGCTTGACCATTTGATTGGGGGTAGTAAGGACTAGACTGGATCATCTTTATCTTAAACTTACTTGCAAATTCCTCTATTTCTTTTAAAATAAAAGATGGCCCGCAGTCTGTAACAATCGTCTCAGGCACCCCATACCTATGTAAGATCTTGGTTTCAATGAACTTTTTGACAGCAGTTGAAATGGTAGTCTTTACAGCTGAAGCCTCTACCCACTTAGTAAAGTAATTTGTTGCCACAATTATGAATGTGTGTCCCTTGCTAGAAGTTGGGTAAATTTTCCCGATGAAGTCCATTGCCCACCTTCTGAAAGGCGAAGGTTTGACCACAGGGTTCAAGGGTACTAAGGGCACATGTTGGAAAAGTCCATGTCTTTGACACTTCTCACACCCATGGGCATAAGCCTTGAAGTCATTCTCCATGGCGGGCCAAAAGTAGCCATATCTTCTTAGCAACCACCTCATCTTAGTTTTAGCTTGATGTGCTTCACAAATTCCTTCATGTACTTTAGCCATCACCTTCATTGATTCTTCTTGGCCTAGGCACTTCAACAACAGTCTATCTGGAGTTTTTCTTAGCATAGACTTATCCCACATGACATATCCATCTTAAGGTCTCTTTCTCAGTTGCCCGCATGATACTTCTGCGAGCTTCTTGCTCTTCTTTCTTTCTTCTTCTGATTAACTCTTAAACAATAATAGCTCTTGATGCTGGCATTTCTAGCTCACATTCACATTAGCACTTGCTACACAACACCAGCCCTTTAACTATGGTTGTTTTGGGTCTCTTGGGCAACTTGATAGCTCCTTCTGTATATCTGTCAACTTGCCTTCTTTCTGCTTTCATTTCCCAAATGGCTTTTCCCTTCCCTTTCTCAACCCAAGTCAGGTTGATCATGTTTATTGGGGCCTCTAAGAAGGGATATGTGTCAATCGTCATATTAGCCTGTGGTTTCTCCAAGAGAAATTTTCCCTTGACTGTAAGGTCTTGTATCCAGTCCTTAAACTAGACACAATTGGTTATGGAATGGTCAAAGGTACAGTGAAGCTTGCAATACTTCTTTCCTCCTAATTCTTCTAGTTTAGGCATCTTTTTGGTGTTGTCAGGCACAATTACTCTTGCCTTGGTTAAATCAAAAGAATAACTCTGGTATTTATGGGGCTTCATAAGGACAAACCCACCATCATTCATCACCACTTTCTGATCCTTGACTTGCTAGGCTAACCCTTTTACCATTAAAGGTTTAAATGGAGTAGTTATCTCTGTTGCACACATTTCAATTCCTCTCCTCCATGACCATCACTTTCTTTTGACTTTGCTTCTTCAAACTCTACTTAATTAATTGTAGCTTTATTCTTGTAGAAAAGAGATACCTTGGATAAGTGCTTCACTTGTTGCTCTTCAGTCAACAATTTCTCATACTTTGTGGCAACAATTACCATCTTTTGCAACTTATTGAACTATACATCATAAAACTTCTTTCTCAAAGGTAGCCTCAATATAAGTTGGGCATGATTGATAGGAAATTCGCACCTCATCCTTGTCCTCCTAAATCTCATCATGAATTCGTCTGTGGAATCATGCTTATATTGCTTCACCTCAACTAGATCGTTGATGATCATCTCGGGCTCCACCCTATAAAATTATTCATGAAAGGCCATCTCCATTTGCCCCCAGTTAGCAATAGAATTAGGGAGGGAGGTAATAGAGAATACCATTAAGATGCTAGGCCTACCAATGAGTTCCCAAACAATCTTAACTTATAGTTAGGATTGTCTTCAAATGCCAAACAGTAATTGAAAAACTTAAAGATGTGATCTCTAGAGGACACATTGCCATCTTCTCCACTAAAAGTTGGAAACACAGGCATCTTAATGTTGAGGGGAAAAAGATTCCGCTCATCAATATACTCGGGGTAGAGCTTCTAGTAGGTGACCCTGAATAACAGGCGAGCCTGGGGTTGAGCATTTTGGACTAGCATTCTTCTTAACTCAGCTAACTCATCTCTAAGTTGTTGGTTGGCTATATTATTTTGTTAGTTGTAAGGAGGTTCCCACTTCGAGCTACGCTCATTGCCCAATAAAGTTTCCTTCTTTGGTTCAGGTTGTCTCCATCTAGCCCCTCCTCCCTTATTAACCAATGATGGTGGCCTATAAAGAAAAGACTTGCCTACAGTTGTGGATATAACTTTTCCACTGGATTCTCCAACTTATTGGTTCATTTCATACTTCTTCTTATCTTGCCCGGCCTGCCCCCTACTATCCAGTGAGGATAATGGTGGATCAGGCAAATCTGTCTCCAGGATTTCTTCAAATCTGACCCCAGACCTACTTTCTCCTTTCCTCTTTCCTTCACTTCCTCGAGTAAGGGAAATAAGGGAATGGCTAGTTCCTTCTCAGGGCTTGTCTCTCTCATAATCTCTCTAGCATAACTGTCTTTTGGAGTAGAGTACTTCAGGTCTAGTCTTTACAAACTTTATGTTAAGGAACAAAGTATGCTCACCTCTCCTCTGGTCTCTAGAGAGATCTTCTCCATACTTTTCAACACTTGCACCATGGTGGCTTGTAAGTCTTCATTGGTCACTTTTCCTCTCGACTTCTCAGATGAAGTCAGGCTTCCCAGAATATCTAGTCCTCGTAGGGAGATGAAATCTTATGGATGATCTATCATTTCTGATCTTAATAGACACTGAGGTGACCCGTATTCAGTATTCCACCTGAAGGTTCGCTCATTCCTCTTCTTTCTTGGCATGAAAGACTAATATATCTCACCAGGCGTGCCAAAACTATGTTCAAGCAAAGATTCCTCTGAAGAATGTCTCTCGACCTCAGCACAGCTCCCCAAGGGATTGGCACTTTAAATGTATATGTTTGGTAGTCGGGCTCTTGCTTGTCTTGTGTGCTGCAGTAAGAGCTTGAAGTTAGTTCTGAATGTGCCTTTGTGGGGCCTTAGGTGTACGGATTGAGGCTCGCAATCAAAACTAACTAAATGGTTAGGCGTGCCACTACTATCTCAGTATAGAAGATGTAGAACAAGTGTGTTTTAAGTTGATTACTTGCGCCCCAAGTTACTCAAACTTCTTGTTATCAAAGGATTGTCACAGATGGGTTAAGTCTGTATTAAGTTTTTTTTCTTGCCTTCTAAACAAGGACTTTTAGTTCATAATATTGAATGTTCGAATGAAGGAAGTCCAGAGCCTTTTAAATCATTTGTTTGGTTCCAAGTTACTGTTAGTGAAAATAAATGCAAATAGGACTCTTAAAATAGAAAACAGGTGGAAATGACTTGAATATATACTGAAAAGTGCATTAAGCAATAGATCTACTAATTTAAAGGACAAACAAAAAGACTCAGGCAAGATTTCACCTTGTCTGGCAAGGTTGAACTTCTTGCAGCCACTTCTCTTTGTTTTTACACAGGTTGTAGACTACAAGGGATGGATGGTAAATAGGTTTACACAGGAGGATCGATACTACAACATTATGGTAGCAGAGCTTTTATACTAAACAAAAGATAGCTTTTCTAAGGGAACTATTGCTAACAGGACTGAATTTGGGTTGATTTCAGCTTGAATGGTATGAACTCACTTGAGAGCAGAGTTTGTATGTTTGTTTGTTTGATTGGTTGAGTGTCCTTGTCTCTGTTGTCTCTTCTTCCTTTTATAGGCGATTTGGCCCGAGGGTCAGGGCTTTGTTTTTGCTCAAAAGCTTTCTGAGGGTAGTGAGTTATCAGTTTTTTACTTGTAGTGCCACTAGAAAATGTTTTTTGGTTGATAGGAGGTTAGTCTTCATCACTTGTCACTTCAATTATAGACATATGACTTGTTTCTTGGTTGCGAAGGCTTCAATTTGTCTCTGGGCTCGATGCTGAACTTCAGGCAGATTCACCTTGTTTTGACATTTTTGGACTTTCCTTCATTCAAGCCTAATATTCAAATTTTGACCCAAAACAATATACAATACTCGAGTTTCATAGTCGTTAAATATTAATTTTGTATTTATGATCAAATACCTTACGGTTAATAATTTCAACGTATACAATACTCCGATTATCATTTTCTTTTAGGAAAACTAATGAAAAAGGTTTGGAAACTTTGAATTTTAACAATAAGAACAAAATAAAGGGTAAAGTAAATAGTACCAAGTTTGATTTTTTAATGTAAAAATATAATTTTTCATTAAAATGAACAATACTTCAAATTGTTCACCAAAACTCCATTTTCTTTTTCGTAGAATTTAGTCCTAAAAAAACCGAAAAAAGAAGAAATAGCTGCCCAAAACAGCTTTGTGTTTTGCTGGTTTTGTCCTTTTATTTCGACTTTGCCCATGGTTTTCATTGGTCAACAAATGCAAAAGCAAAGTCTTGACAGTCAATTCACAACATTGACCCAAAACATCCTCCGCACTCAACTGCTCTGCAACTCCTCCCTCTCCTCGACACACCCATATAAAACCCTTCACAAACCCTCCTTGTCTGCAAACCGCCATACACCCACAAAAATCAACCTCCACAATGCATAAAACTCCTTCAGGCTCCACGCTGGGCGCCGGTGGCCTCGACCTCACCCAGGCCTTCTTCAAGCCCATCTCCAATGCCGCCGCTCCCTCCCTCACCAAACGCCACACCAAGATCTCCGTCATCGGCGCCGGCAACGTCGGCATGGCCATCGCCCAGACCATCCTCACCCAAGACCTCGCCGACGAGCTCGTCCTCGTCGACGCCAAGCCCGACAAGCTCCGTGGCGAGATGCTCGACCTCCAGCACGCCGCCGCCTTCCTCCCCCGCACCAAGATCCTCGCCGACGTCGACTACGCCGTCACCGTCGGATCCGACCTCTGCATCGTCACCGCCGGCGCACGACAGATCGTTGGCGAGTCCAGGCTCAATCTCCTCCACCGCAACGTCGCTCTCTTTCGGAACATTATCCCGCCGCTAGCAATGTATTCGCCAGAGACGATCTTGATGATCGTGTCCAACCCAGTTGATATCTTGACCTACGTGGCCTGGAAGTTGTCCGGATTCCCCAGCAATCGGGTTGTCGGTACGGGTACCAATCTGGATTCGTCCCGGTTTCGGTTCCTCATCGCCGATCACCTCGATGTCAATGCTCAGGATGTGCAGGTGATTTTTGCATTTCGGGCATTTTTGCTACTTCATGACATTGCAGTGCAAATGGTTGTTAATTTTTATATGGTTTTTGACAGTACTGTATTTTATAGATATTTCATATTTTTGTGTTTTCATTTTCTCGGTATTTTTGTAGCACGGATAAATCAGATACGACATTAATATTGTCTTTGACTAGGGTATGCTATTTAACCCCTTCAATTATTATCCAGTTGAAATTGATCATCTGAATTTTTTTTGGTAAATTAACTTTCTGAACTATTTGAAATTAGCCTATTAATCCCTTGTCGGTAGATTCTTCTCACTACTTCGTTAAATTCATGGAAAAATTAGTATTTTTATCATCAATTCTTACTTGTCAACTGTAACCAATAAAATTATGACATATGGACACAAAGTAATATGTAACGACCATGTAAAATGGTTGGTTATGTAAATGTTTGGTTTTTTTTTTTGTTTTTTTAATGTTTTCTTATTATGTTATATGTTTTACACATTATTTTGTCTCCATGCATCATAATTTTACATTTATCATAATTTTATTGGTGGTTATTGTTGACAAGTAAGAATTGATGATGAAATGATTAATTTGCCTTTGAATTTCACGAAATGGTGGACGAAATCGGCTGATTTTAAATAGTTTAGGGTGTTAATCTATTAAAAACATAGCTCAGAGGGTCAATTTTAAGTGGGATAATAATTTAGAGGTTAAACCGCAGTTGACGCCTTTTACTACATATGACTGCAAGTTTCAAGTATTTGATACATTGCTTATGAATTGTAGGCTTACATTGTTGGGGAGCATGGTGACAGCTCGGTGGCATTGTGGTCGAGCATTAGTGTCGGGGGAGTGCCGGTGTTGAGTTTCTTAGAAAAGCAACAAATAGCATACGAGAAAGAGACGCTAGAGAGCATTCACAAGGCGGTTATAGACAGTGCCTATGAGGTGATAAGTCTGAAAGGGTATACTTCCTGGGCAATTGGGTACTCGGCAGCTGCGCTAGCTAAGAGCATACTGAGAGATCAGAGGAAGATTCACCCGGTTTCCGTGCTTGCAAAGGGGTTCTATGGGGTGGATGGTGGAGACGTGTTCTTGAGCTTGCCTGCCCAGCTTGGGAGGGGTGGGGTGTTGGGGGTTACCAACGTGCATTTGACTGATGAGGAGGAACAAAGGTTGAGAGATTCTGCTAATACCATTTTGGATTTGCAGGGTCAGTTGGGACTCTGAACTTGATTGGAAGAATTTCTTTGTTCGGTTTGAAGGGAAGAGTTGTCCAGGCTTTGTAAGGTCGCTCGCTAATATGAAACATGCTCATGATGTACCAAAACAAAATAAAGAAACAAACCGTGTGTTGGTTTAACTTTTGGCTTTTGCTGTGCTTCATATGTTGCAATGAATGATGCAGTTGTATTATGTTCTTGCTGAACTGAGATTAGAAGCTACCTTTCGATCTTATTAATCAATCCAGGTTGAACAACCTACCATATTACTCAAGACTTCAGGCATATCATAGAGGTATTCCTGGTGAATGCTGTCAAGGCATTAAGGGAAATATATTTTCTTAAATTACAAAGTCAAAGTTATGTAAATCATATTAATAACGGAATTGTGAATACAAGAAGGGTTAGACCAGGTTGATGAAAGCAATTGTGTATGCTCTCTTGAACTCGAATTCGAGTTGATGTCCAAGTAAATTTAGACGAAATGATGATTAGCTGGGACTTACCCATATACCCACTGAAACATGGGCTAGTTGTTGTCTTGTTTAATGGGCTTTTAAGGCTTTCATTATTATATCAAAATGTGCTTTTGAGTTTTAACTTAGGAAAATACCTTAAAATGAGACAATTTCTTAATCTTGGAATAGAAATAGGACATTTCGAATATACACATGGCATGCCCATGCAATGCACAAAAATAGGACAGAAATAGGATTTTCCCTACACCTTGAAATAACCAAATTGTCCACCCATATAAATGGGTAATCTAGAAATTTCAGCATTCATTTCTCATTTTGTATAGAGAGAAATAGAGAGGGGAGAGAGAGAGAGAAAAGCTCTCTCGCCCAATTCCAATTCGAATAACCCTAACCCACCCATCTTCTTCTCATCCAAGAGCTCTTTCTCTAACCCACCCATCTTCTTCATCCAAGCTCTCTCTCTTTCTTTCTTTCTCTCTCCCCTCTCTCTATATTTCAAATATGCACAAGAACTCTCCCTCTAACCCACCCATCTTCTTTGATTTTTACCTTTTCATTTGTAGGTTTTGTGAACTGGGTTTGCTTAATTTTGCTTTTTGATTGATGGATTTTTGGAGTTCAAGTAATTGGTTGGTGTTTCTTGGAGGAGACCCAAATCCTTCAATTTTGATTTTTGATTTTTTTTTAATCATTTCTCTAATTTATATGTGTGTTTTCATTTCTTCTGTCTTCTCCCTCCTTCTCCCTTTCTCGATCCAAATTTACAAGCACTAAAATAGGGTTTGGCTTTTGCTACAATTAAATGAAAAAAACGTATTAAAGGTCAGTTGCCTTTTGGAGAAAAGATAAATTTGAGGGAACAGAGAGAAACCAGAGTGGAAAGAAGGAAGAGAGAAGGATATGGACAAAATTATTTCGCATACTCGTTTGCTTTCTTCGTATTAAGCTCGTTCATACACTGTATGTACACAACATGTACATGACATGCACATCTTATGCTCACTGATCTAAGCTCAACCCAAAAATCCATAGCTCACAACGCTCTCTTCGACATCAGGAAAATGATGCAATCAGATAAATGACCCTAAACTTTATATGAAGATCGAAGATTCATTAATTTGAATTTAGTATCAAATTTGATTGGGTTCAAATATTTCAAGGATTTAAAACTTGCAATTTGAATGGGCATGAAAGAACCCCCAATTGAATTAAAGGAAATTGTCTCACGAACTTGTTCGCTTTTTTCGCATTTGCAGGGCCTACCTCTGAAACAAAGGAAAAAGTAGTAAACTACGTTAATGCGAAGAGTATCAAAGATGTAAATATGAACCATATACACTATATGTACACCACATGTACATAATATGTACAATACATGCACATGATATGGACAGAGTGGGATAAACTTTAACGGCAACATATTGGTATTGTGGATACAATTAAAACATAATTATTACGCATATAAGGTTACAATATCAGTTTGAAAAGTCTTGCTACGTATATCAACCACTACTTAACCGTGCATGTGGAAAACATGATACTCATCGTTATTTCATGGACACGCATGACCCTTAACGTCCTCTAAGATTTTTATTTTTATTTTTAAATTTTGTTTTTCACTAAGGCCAACTAGGTTGTGGTCATACTCGCTCACAACATATGTGCATCATAACTAAAGAACATTCATGCTTCTCATATTAAGATGTAGCCATGCATATCATATGCACACCAAATGCACATTACGGAAAAATTTTCACAAATTTCTGCAATTGGACACTTGAACCAGAAATTGTTCCATCCCAATTTTCTAGCACGTCAAAACTTGAAATTTATTCCACAACCCATACGCCCCAACATGAAACACAAGCCCTAATTTAACTTCTAAGTATTAATTTATCTTACAAACAACTCATTTATTACGTAAATCATTGATGAAGGAACTTGGAACTAACCACCCTACCTTACTATGCGTATAGAAGCTTTAGTCGCCTGAAAAAATGAAACTTTTTGGCCAAAACATAAAATATGGTACAAAACTTAGCTCACTCTTCTCACCTCTCTCTCGCATCCCTTTGTTCGAAATTAGAGGTATGAGGTTAACCCAAAACCCAGCTCACTCTTCTTGCCTCTCTTTGGACTTCCTTCTTTTCGAAATCAAAGCTCAGAAATCTGAGCTCAACCCAGAAACGCAAAGCTCATAGAGCTTTCTCGACAACCCTCTCTTCCAAATGAGAACAATGATGCAATTGGCTGATGATTTATAGTATTTATGTGTGGGTATTTTAGTAATTTAGGTTTTGTCCTATTTCTATCCCAAAATTAAGAAATTATTCCATTTTAAAGTATTTCCTTTTTACTTAATGAACCTATTCACAATAAACTAGCCCATATATTTGTGGGAGCTTTGGTTTTAAGTATACCAAATTGTAATAATAAATCCTAATCATCAATAGGCTTTGATTTTCAAAATTCAAACAAAACAAAAATTACATACCAATGTCACAGTTGGCAGTCACTTTCTCATATTTTTATTGGATTTTTTGGTGCAAGTACCAGCTAAACTTGTAACCATGTGCGATAATACTACCTCAACTTTTAATTTTTAGTTTTTACGACCTGGTCTCTCTTAAATGTTGGAATCTACAACCTAACAGCATCTCCAAAGGAGATGTCAAACTGTCCAAATAAGCAATAATGGTAAAAAAAAAAAAAAAAGTCAGCAGCAATGTTTTCCAACCGAGAAGCCAAATCTAATGTAGCCTGACATGGGATGACATTTCTCCCCCTTGTGGCCAAATTTGATAGTAGCTTCAAATTTTTTTAATTCATTATTAAAATGCTTTTTATTAATTTTTTATTGGTTTAAAGCCTTACTCTTTAGTTTCTTTTAATTACTAATGCAATGTTTAAATGTTCTTATACCTTTTAATTCACTTTCTTTCATTACCAATGCAAATAAAACAATTATGGATTATTTTTGTTTAAAATTTGACGTTTCGGGTGGAGAGTAAAACTTCAAAAGATGTCGAAGTGCCACGTAAGCTGTCATTTTTTTTTTGATAAAGCACGGTATTAATTGATGGAAATTGGAATACGTACAATATTGAGGATAGGGTGCACAACGTGGGTCGATAAAAACCTTACCGGAGATTTCAACCCGTTCGAAGGGAAAAATAGCGTCTCGCACCTAACATATATTAAGTATTACTATGCTCAATAAGAGATCAACGATTATATTGGGTGGTTCTTCAAACCAAGTTGCACAATCATCAATACTCAAGCTAAACCGTGCAAGCCTATGTGCAATCTTGTTCGCCTCCCTTCGAGTGTGCTTGAGACTCCAGTTGGGGATCCTTTGCATCAGTTGCCTTGTGTCCATAATTAAATACCATTGGGGTTTGGGGGGTGGTGCGGCGGGGCGGGGAGCTGCAGCTTTGCCCCGTGTTTTGTAGTGCAGAGAGGACAAGCAATGCATCCCCCTCCATAATCATCTTCTCCACCTGCAAATTATGCACAAACAGGGCCGCCTCCCTTGCTGCCATAGCTTCAGCTACTAACGACGAGTCCTGCAGTGTTCTTCGCTAAAGCTGCCACAAAAGACCCTTTATCATCTCGAATGACTACGCCCTTTCCCCCCATGCTTCGTTGTTCATCCCATGCACCATCGAAATTTCAGTTCATCCACCCCTTCTCCAGTAGCTTCCATTTCCGATTAATCTCTGCCTTTCCTTTCTTCTCCACACGGTGTCATTTCTGGTATTCACGCAGCCAGCACTCGGCTTTGCACAACAGCTCCAAAGGGTGAGCCGCCTTGCCCTTCCATAAAAATGAATTCCTTTCCAGACAAATATTCCATATAATAACCAAAGAAGAATCAAAGCTATTCCTTGATAACAGACCGGCAATCTCGGCAAACCAATCCAGAATTTTTGGTCTGCGATCACAGCGACTGACAGAGGACAATCCCTTAAGAGGTGTTCAATTGTTTCCTCATCTCCACGACAGAACATACATGAAGTCTCCACGAGAACCTTCTTTTTCTTCAGGTTTGAAGGAGTAGGTACTGCATTCAAGCAACAACGCCACACACATATTTTCACCTTCTCAGGACCATTGGCTCTCCAAATTGCTTTCCAAAAAAATTTCATGTCTCCGTTTAGTACCGATCCGCCTGCCTCGCCACCGTTGACATCTCCATGCATTCGAGCCAAGTGGTATGCACTTTAAGACGAGAACTTTCCATTAGCCTCCGCGTTCCATATTAGTACGTGATTCGCATGAAAAAGACTCAACTGTATTTGCTTAATCAAAGCAGCTTCTTCTACACAAAAGATTCCATCAATAGCCTCTGTATTCCACGTTACAACCACCAAGACACATCCCACCACCCCCACCCCCCCCCCCCCCCCCCCCCCCCCCCCGCCCCCCCCGGGGTTCTCTCTGTGCAATAAATTGTGCACTGTGGATGACTGATCAAAGCCCTCGGGTATAGGTTTATAACCTTGAAAAATTGGTTTCGGGGAAGCCAACTATCACCCCAAATTTTGATCTTTGTACCATCTCCCACTCACCACCGAGCACCCATTCGAATAATCTTGCGGGCCTCCGCAATGCCTTGCCAACAATAAGTTGTCAATTTTAAACTTTATGTTTAAAATTTGACATTTCATTTGAAAATGGTTTAAATTATTTTTCATCCATTTTGTCATTAAAA